GGAGAAAAATGGATATCATTTTCAAATTCAGCGTACAGGAATTATTGTAGAACATCGCAGGCCTGTGTAATTGTTTTATTTATAGGTATGATATTTGAAATATTGGAACCAAAGTTTTTATAAACAAGTTACTTGAATACACCTTTTTCAGAAAGTAAACTTCCAACACTACTTGTGTATATTTATTTTTTCATCATCAGTTACAGATAAAGTACCCTGATAAGTTTCAGAATGCCTTCTATTGTTTTACTTAATATAATTAAACCAAGAAAAATTTAACTTCAATAATTAAGTGATTTATTCTAGGTGATATTTTCCCCAGATTTTTTTCTATTAACACAATTAATCTGATGCAAATATCTTCTCTGATAAGTCACCTTATTTCAAAGTAAATAAGACTATTAAACTCAGAACTGTATGCATCTACTTGTTTTTTAGGAAAATATTTGGATGACAAATAAAGCACGTATTTTTCGTGTACGAAACTTTAAGCCTAATCTCCAGAATGAGTGTTGTTTGGTTATAACGATCTGGCTTACAAAATATTGCTTTGCTTAATGCGCTCGGATACTCGCATTAGATGTAACGAAAATGAAGAAAAACAACTAACTAACGAAAAACTTTTTACGCTTGGCGACGTCGTTCCCAAGAAAAGTATTATTTACAAACAAGTAATTCCCGGTGGCGTAATTTACAAATCGTAACAGCAGAAAATATATGTTAGATGAACTCACAAAGAGTGCGATAACTTACAACACAAATACAAGCTAAATAAAGCGTCATCAAAAACAAATATTACAGCAAATAATATAGTATTTATCGAAGCGAAAGATACATTATTATACAAATCTGTACAGTTGCAGATGTCATATTTGCACTTTCTGTACTTTAAATATTGAAATTAACATAACCGTTACGAAACCTCTATATATATATGTATATATAAAAGGAATAGCTTCAAACGCATTATATCAATTACATTACTTGTCAATAGGCGATCAAAATCAGCACTATAAAACAATAATGAACTTATAATATTTTTTATATTAGATATATACACATACATTTCATCTATAATAACCCAGATAAAATCGTTATTACTTGAATATTTTACAACTTTTTTGTCTAAGTATCTTAATATTCACCCTCCCATTTTTCTTTTGTTCTTCTTCCTTCAACATGATTTTGATCAAGGGTTTTCAATAAAACTACACTCCTTTTTTTAATAAATGTACTGAAAATACAATTTTCTGAAATCATGAAATGGAAAGGAAAGTTAATTTCTAATTGTTTTCCACTCGTGAAGATTTTAAAACGAGGATATTTTGAATCATACAAAACTTCTTATAACAAAAAATATAAGTAAGTTATGTAAAAGAAAGATGAGTTTGTTAACAGTTCGCATTTTACACAGCTTATGTTGTATTTATCATTAGTACTTCCTTCTCCTTTCAATTACTAAACTAGACAACACCGGATTTTCTTGATCTTTCTTATAATCACAATATTATAAAAACTAGTGACGAAGTAGATACTTTATAAGGTAGAAAAAGCTTCTAGCACGTGGTAAACGTAAATATAATGTTTGTTGTGTTTTTTTCCTACAGTACGTCAAGCTTTTCTCCTATACGTGGACTTTAGGAGAAATTTGTTGCAAATTCGTGTATTATATTCAAAACGTTTCGTCTATTTGTTCTGTGCTGACTCTAACAGCAATGAGTGTAGAAAGGTAAGATAATTCATTTTAACATGAAGCTATCAAAATAGTTACTGAAACTAAAGTGTTTAACGTTAACAGCTAGGCTTATCTAAGAGTGTTTTAACAGAATCAGATTAACTTACCTGAAAGTGTTTAACAGTACTATCTTGGCTTATCTAGAGTGTTTTAACAGAATCAGATCAACTTACCTGAAAGTGTTTAACAGTACTATCTTGACTTATCTAGAGTAGTTTAACAGAATCAGATTAACTTACCTAAAAGTGTTTAACAGTACCACCCTAGCTTGTCTAACGGGATTTATAACATTGCCAGCTTAGCTAATCTAACGTGGTTTATCAGTAGAGGCTAGCTAATCTTACATTTTAATCAGTACCTGTCTAGTTTATCTAACGTGGTTTATCAGTACCAGCCTAACTAATCTAACGTGGTTTATGTATACCAGTTTATCTTATCTAAATAGTACATCTTCTTAAAACTTCTGCGAATATGCGTGCACAGAACGGAGAGAAGGACGTTAAGCACGTGCTTGTAAATATAAGAGCAGTTGTTGACCTGGGTTTTACAGCTGGATAAACAGAAGCTTGAATGTCTAGAAAGTGCATACCAGAGCAGAGAAACGTGGCTCAAACGTTTATATTTGTTAAACAGAGAGAGCGCCAGAGATGGCTAATACACTGAACAAGACGATACGCGCCACAGATGGCTGATACACTGAATATGAGGCCGCGCGCTGTACAAGGACAACTAGGGAACCAATTTTATATAAAAAGCCACCATTGAAAAACTAATTCTGCAGTTATCACTAAGTTCCTGAGTGTAAAATAATTATAAAGATTAGAGTTTCTTATTTTTATAGAACGTCCTACTACCTAGTAATGCTGTAGTAATTAGAGTGGTTAAAAAAGGCCCTACTTGCTAGTAATGCTGTAGTAACTAGAGTGGTTAAAACAGGCCCTACTTGCTAGTAATGCTGTAGTAACTAGAGTGGTTAAAAAAGCCCTAATTAGTAATAATGTTGTAGTAGGTATGGTGGTTAAAAAAGCCCTACTAGCTAATAATGCTATTATTAGCTAGTAGGGCCTTTTAAAAGTATCCTAACTATTCCAGCATTATTAGCTAGTAGGGCCTTTTTAAAGGTATCCTAACTACTATGGCTGAAGTAGTTAGGATACTTTAAAAAGGCCCTACTAGCTAATAATGCTGTAGTAGCTAAGATGGTTACACATCATATAGGAATTCTTGGTGTTGTTCATATTGGTTTTAGAGCAAAGTCACATTGGAATATCTGATATGTCCACCGCAAGGAATCGAACACCGAATTTTAGCGTCGTAAGTCCGTAAACGTATCGCTAGCCCACCAGGGGACTTGGTATCAGTGACTTAAAGTGGGCCTTCAGGTATTTTTTAATATTCAAAGACATTTTGATAACTTTTTTTTTACTTTTCGATTGTGGAAATCAAAGTCCTGACGGGTTTTTCTCACTCGAAATTAAAGATTAGAATACTATGATATAACTGTGATGAACTTTAACCTATGAAGCTATTTAAAAAATCAATTACTTTGTTAATTACAGCAGAATGAAAGCTAATTTTTAGAACCTACGCATACACAAATATATAGCGTCGTGTTTCAATATAAAATCAATTTTCTAACAATCCAATCACAACTGAAAGAAGATCGCGAGCTAGATCTTCTGGAAGCCAATGGGAAGGGAAATATAATTCTGTAGCAATTTCTTGCGGAACAAAATATAATCATGATCATATTTTATACGACATTCAAATTTGCAATGTTTATTATGCAAACCTAATAATATGCTATATTACTTAAAATTATCAGTAAGGAATCTTTTTGGAAAAATAAAGGAAAATCGAATATTATATAAAGAGAGTTGAGTCGTTATATTAAAACGATTTTAAATACCTAAATCAACAAATAATGTGAAAACATCAGCCGATATAAAGTCATGGTGGAACGGAATGTATCAGAACTACAGTTTCACGTTATTTGGCGTTACGTAGGTAGTGTGATGTCACCGAAAATGTATCGCTTTTGATAAAAATATGTAACAGCCCTTTCCAACGCAAAATATTTATACACTCCAATCATAAAGGTGTATTCATATCGGAGATTTAGGTTTTACAAGACTTGTACTTACTTAATGGCATTAAAAAACAAAGAAATGTGGATCAAATTGAATCATAAAAACCATCTAAAAAGAGACTCGCAACAAGTCGTATCCTTGCTTTGGTCAGGAAAGTGTGGCGTTTCATAACCGGTGGGAATTCACGAATACAAAGGCCAGTGGCAAAAGCAGTTCACATGTCACAGGAAACAGTACACAACATAATGGAGAGGGATCTGTGTCTGAAAAAGCGACACAAGTCACCTGTACACAGGACATATCCGTTCAACTGTTGCATGTCTCAAGCAGCTGAAGAATGCTATTCCATGCAAAGACATGCCGGTCAAATTGCCGAACACAACACCTAGATATTTCTGTGGGATCGGACAGTAGAAATTGATGTTAATTGAATCATTGTCCTCGTACGCTAGATGGCTTATTGAAAGCTCGCAGGGAAGAAAGGTGTGCTTTAGATATTACAGCCTTACGATGAAGTTTTTGCAATGAAAACTATGCTGCAGAGCTATTGCCAAGATGTGCGGTCGTAACGACACAGACTGTAACGACGTGGTGGGTCTCCAAAATCGTTTGAATTCCACGTACTCAACCATTGTAGTTTCATGCAACTAAGTACATGAAAAAAACAAATTTAAAATGCTTTAAGATCCAATCTCTTTTATAAGAACAACTTTTCCAATAACTTTAAACACTCTTTATCTCACTTTCTCGCGTGAAATAAAACTTATTTCGTTTTGTGTATCTTGTTTGACAGCTTTTATTTTCAGTCGACCTAATTATTCAACTAAGACTATTTATTTCTGGCAACTACGCATTTCATGGTAAATTGTATATAATTCGATTTCGAAAATATTGTTTTCTAATTAAGAACTGTCATCAAGCAGGTTGTAAACCCTTTTGTGTCTGTTATTACGTCACAATTATGACGTCATATAAACAGCGAGGTTTTTAATGTCAAAAGCTGATGTAGCAATGTGACTAATGAGCCTAATAGCATTTATTAAAATCACACAAGACTACAGATTTTTATAGGTATTATTAGACTTAGTAGTTTCCTTGTTTCTAGGGATTTCGTCGTTTAAGAGTGTAATATTAATAAAAAACTGATATTTCAATGTATCCGGAGTAAACAATTGGGCGTTTTGCTGTACAATTATCATTTCTAAATTTTTTTGCTTATTTATTTCTCGAATTTTGAAAGCGCAAAGCTAATTCGGAGGCTATCCGCTTTCCACCGTGGGTATCAAACACCAATTTTTTAGCGTTATAAACTTACCGGCAATTTTTGTATTCATATATTTGGTGTTTAACGAAACAAAAAAGTTAATATTCGTGAAGTTATATAATCTTCTGTTCTAGATGTATTATCGCACAAGGTACAACAAACATATTTATTTTTTACTTGTTACTGTTAGACAGCAGTTACTGCTAAAAATAATAATATGAATAGTTTAGTGTATGTAAAAACTAACACATGCTATTAGTTAATTTTGATTATACAATAAAAACTTCATCACGAAGCAAATAGAAATATGTTTCTCAAGATGTCTAACGATCTTGAACCAACTTTCATGAGTTCAGTACATTATTTCATGAACTTAGTACATTTTTTCATGGCTTCAGTATATTGTTTCATGTGTTCAGTATATTTTTTTCATGACATAAGTATATTGTTTCATGAGTTTAATGTATTGCTTCATGTCTTCAGTACATTGTTTCATGAGTTTAATGTATTATTTCATGAGTTCAGTACATTATTTCATGTGTTTAGTGTATTGTTTCATGACTTCAGCATATTGTTTCATGGATAAAGTACATTGTTTCATGGCTTCAGTACTTTGTTTCATTAGTTCATTACGTCGTGTCGTGAGTTCTGTACATTGTTTCATAAGAACAGTAAATTGTTATTGAAACGGGTTATAATAAGACAAGTGTTGATATGTATAAGTAACAGGATTGTGAAACAGGAGTCGTCGACTGCATTTGAAATTGGTTTTAATCTTGATATAAGATATGATTACATAGATTTCTTCGTAGTTTTATCCTTGTTAAGCTTACATAAAACGTCCAATAAAAATGTATTGACCAATGGACATTTGATCTGGCTCTAAACTGTTAGCTTTGGTCAGCAAGAAATATCAAGGACTAAAGCTCTGTTAGCTTCGCTGTTCTGCCCTTCATTAAATCGGTTCCATAAAAAGTACAATCATACCTAACTATACGGCAAGGAACAAATTTCATACCTTTGTCGTTAACGTATCATTGACAGCACGAAAGCCACTATCAGTTTTATTGTACATTCTCTTTTGTGTGTGTGTGTGTTATATCAAACTGAGAAGCTTATGAACCAATAGTTCTTCCCCTCATATGAAGCTATTAACTGATGTGTACGGCCATTCAAGTCTGTTTAGGATGAAGGCCTAACTCAACTGTGAGAAATGGCGTTTTTTCCGGATAAATGTGAACATGAGACAAAATGAAAAAGTGTAAAAAAATATAATTACAATTATTTACAGCTTGTGGAAAAAATAAAATTATAATTACTTACAACTTGTGGAAAATATATAATTATAATTATTTACAGCTTGTGGAAAAATAACATTTTAATTATTTACAGCTTGTGAAAAAAATAAAATTATAATTATTTACAACTTGTGGAAAAAATAATATTTTAATTATTTACAGCTTGTGGAAAAAAATAAAATTATAATTATTTACAACTTGTCCTACAGTCAAGAAGTCACTCACTCCTTTCCGATCTTTTAAATAATAAAACATAAAGTGACGTAAATGAACGAGGGAAAATACAATTTTCATTATTATTATATTTATATTCTTAATGAACATACTAGCTGGAGTACCCGT